CGTGACCGAGGGCCCACGTCTGCACGTCTGCACTCAGATAGACGGGGAAAGACTTACTGCGAGGCCAGACGTGGCCTGCGCAGACTCATACTGTAGCTCCTCTTCCAGCTCTTCTTGCCCTGTCGGTTTCTCACGCCGTCCTCCTGGTCCATCATCTGCTCCAGGAGCGTCTGGTCGTCGGCGTTGAGCGGAGCCACGCTGATGTCTCTGACAGCTCTGAATTCACCACAGTTGTTCAGATGTTCGTTCTCCAAGCGGAAGAAGTTCCACACAAAGCGCCTACAAGGACCAAACATTAACCCGTTACTGAGTTTCTGTTACTTTATCACTTCCTGATCTAAACTGTGGCTGCAGATACAAGACACAAGGTTAGGACTCTGAGAAAAACCAGAGGGCTGAATAAAGAGGAAAATAAAAAGACTTGGTGTACCTAAAGACCTCCAGCGGGGCCAGGACTGTAGCAAAGATGTCAGAGAGGCCGTCAAACGTGACGAGTGTGGTGACGGTGACCGTTAAGATCCATCCAAAGCGTAACAGCACGTCCTCTACGATGGCGCTGTAGTAATAGGCCTGTAGGAGGACGCACAACAAAGCACGGCGCTTCACATTCATGCTGTGTGACTACATAACAACATGTGCTGCTGTTTAGATTTGTGGATGAGGGTTAGCAGCAGCAGCAGGACATTTGGACACCGAGCGGCCACAGGAGGCGCTGCAGCGTCTTTGTGTGGAGTCATACCTTGTGTGGATAGACGATCTCCTCTCTCAGAAAGGTGTTCTCTCCCGCGTTGCGGTCAAACAGTCCCCAGTCCATCTTCAGATCCCAGACCAGAGTGTAACACGAGCTCACCGCCAAACAGCCAATGTACAGATAGAAGAAGATCTGGGCCTCGGAGCCTGCGTCTGTGGGCGGGACATCAGAGTGTTCTCCAGTAACTTACAGCCTGCCATTAGAGCTCCATCCCATAATAACAACACAGGGGAGAGAGCGATCTCAGGATGGCACGGCGTCTGTCAGCCTACCTTTGTGTGTGCTGTAGAGGGCGGAGAAGGTGACAGCAAAGAAGGTGGTGGAGTATTTGCCAGCATTAACCAGATGAGGGAAGGCCCGCTTGGTGTCACGGTAACGGCGCAGACACTGGACGAACCGGAACCACGCGGGGAGACACTTGATCACCGCCCGGACGCCGTACGAGTACGAGTTGCACACATCGTTACCTGCAGAGGACGACATTTAGCCACGGGCTTGCTCTGACACGTACGCGTGAACGGCGAACATCTCACCTCTGCTGATGAGCCCGTTGTGTTTGGTCCAGTCCAGCTCGAAGCTGTAGAAACAGATCATGTACTCCAGGTCCATCAGCACCACCACCAGGGAGTTCAGCTGGTCGGCCAGCCAGAAGTCTGCGAAGCCAACACGGTGAAACGGAGCCGTCACCACTCGGAACTGTGGAGGAAGACGTCACAGGAAGAGCCCTCTTCAGAATAAAAGCTTAACCACACAAAAAGTATGATGTAGAGGCTGTGGTCAGCGCCGTCACCAGAAGCTTGAGCAGCCAGAAGCGTGACTTGTAGTAGCAGGTCTTGAAGGGGTTGATGAGGAAGAGGAAGAAGAGCCCGTAGAGAGCCAGAGGGTTGGCCTGCATGGGCACCAGGATCTTGTCGCTGAAGAGACAGGACAGCAGGCTTACGCACCACAGCACCCCCAGCAGACCTGCAATCTGCACACACAGCGACGCAGTCAGCACCTTTCCCCGTGGAGGGGAATTATTACATCATCTCTATAAGAACACGACTTTGGTTCAATCTGACCTCTGACCTCAAACAGATGCTGATGGGACAGGTTGTTTCTGGGGTTCAGTTCAAATATGAGCACATGATTGACGCCTGCTTGCCTCCAGCCGTAAGTGTTGATGCCTGCAAGACAGAAGAGTTTAACTTCCTGCCTCTGACACGAGTTAATGACTCCAAACCTGGCACATGAGCTCCAGTGTGTGTCTGTGTGTCCATACCTAACAGGAAGAGGAATTCTATTAACAGGAAGCCTCCTCTGTAGATCCGGATCATCGGCCAAACATCAGAACGATCGGTCCCCACAGCTACTAATGACAAAGACCAATCAGGAGACAGCACGATCAATACCGAGCAGAACTGCACGGAGCACAAACAAATGATGTGATGAGTCTGCAGCACGTCTTTGTTTGTCTGCACAACAACAAATGGAAACGAACATTCATGATGGTTCTGCTGCAGGATGTCTGGGACACACCTCATCATTTGTTTCCTGTGGATACTGTTTAAACCCCCAAACACAACTAAACAATCACAAAAACACAAGTGAATACAAAGAAAGGCCAATCCTCTCTCTGCTCGCGTTGTTGTGCAGATTTAAGATGATTATCAGAGGGGGAAGTGTGCTCACTCATTAAAATAATTCATATAATTAAGACCTGCATCACTTTCCTCTGTTCCTGCCTGCTCCTGTGGAAATCATGAAATCTGTCTCTGTGTTTCTGATGTCAGCAGGAAGAAACCTGAGCCTGGTCCTCCTGGAGGTTTCCTCCCGCTGTCACTCGTGGGGTCACATGATTGTTGGGTTTCCTCTGCATCATTGTGGGCTCTACTAATGTAAAGCACCCTGAGGCGGCTGTTAGGGTTTGGTGCTGCATAAATAACGCTGGTCTCTCCCTCCACAGCTTTACACACTACTGTTCCTCACATGCACAGAAATGGATTATTGGTGAGTTACTGTGGTGTATACTCTTCATTCGCTCCTGATGCCTTAATAACACTGTAATAACACCTCTAACTTCACCACTGTAGTGCTGCAGCTCCATCTTTCTCACCTCCCACCAGGATGCTGATATTCCATAATCATTTATTTCTCCCTTCTCTCACAAAAGTCTCCTTTTTCCTGTGGCGTGATAAAGTATTATTATTATTATTATTA